CTTATAAGCTGAGCATGACCATGATGAGAAGCTAGTAGCATTATTGGATCGCAGCAGGCAGGTAATGCTGAGACTCAGCGTAAAGAAATTACAATTCAAGGTACAAGACGTCCACTTCCATGGACATATCCTGTCTCAAGAAGGCTTGAAAGCTGACCCAGATAAGATTAGAGCCATTGTGGACATGCCTCGGCCTGGTGACACCAAAGCAGTGCAGTGCTTTATTGGCTTTGTCACATACCTAGCAAAATTCATGCCACATTTGTCTGAGGTGTGTGAGCAATTGAGAAGGCTTCTAGATAAAGATGCAGTTTGGCATTGGCTTCCCAAGCATGACTAGGCAGTGGAGGAAATAAAACGCTTGATCACAGCTGCCCCAGTGCTAAAATATTATGATGTAAAAAAGCCTGTTACAATTCAAAGCGACTCAAGCAAAAATAGCCTAGGATGTTGTCTATTGCAAGAAGGTCAGCTAGTTGCATTTGCATCCAGAGCACTCTCTTAAGCTGAGCAAAATTATGCTCAAATTGAAAAGGAATGTTTAAGCATTGTTTTTGCCTGTCAGCGTTTCCCTCATTATCTCTATGGCCGGGATGCAATCATAGCTGAAACTGATCACAAACCTCTAATATCCATATTCAAGAAGCCGCTTTTATGTGCTCCAAAGCGTTTGCAGAGCATGATGCTTACACTGCAGAATTACAATCTCAATGTTGTGTACAAGCCAGGACTTGAAATGTACATCGGTGACACCCTAAGCAGAGCTACAATGGAACACGTGGCACCTGGAGGTGAGCATGAGCATCTTGCAGTTTGTTTGTTGCAGCAGGAACAGAATTTCTTTGCCGAAGTCAATCAAGCAGACTATCTTAATGGACCACTCTAAGCACCCAGACCACTTCAGCTTAATGAAGTGGTCTTGGTCCCAGGTCCAGCTAGGGTTAACCCATTTTTTTATAAACATAGCAGTTTCAGAGAAACTGCTATGTTTATGAATGGGTTAAGCCTTCCCCCAAAGCCTCTAGCGGCTGTCTCATTGACAGCCGCTAGAGGCGCTTGCGTGATTCTCACTGTAAAAATCACAGTGACAGCACGCCAGCGTCCATAGGAAAGCATTGATAATGCTTTCCTATGCGACCGACTGAATGCGCATTCAGCCGACGGGGAGGAACGGAGGAGGAACGGAGGAGGATCGGAGGCAGAGAGCTCCCCGCCCAGCACTGGAAAAAGGTAAGTTTTATCCCTTTTCCCCTTTCCAGAGCCGGGCGGGAGGGTGACCCTGAGGGTGGGGGCACCCTCAGGGCACTATAGTGCCAGGAAAACAAGTATGTTTTCCTGGCACTATAGTGGTCCTTTAATGTCACAGATCAGCGGCTACATCAGCTCATACAGCACACAGAAAGTGATGCAACTTTGCAAGCACTGAAGTCTATAGTTCTGATGGGGTGGCCAGATGAAAAAGATGCAGCACCTGCAATTGTGAAGGAATATTGGTCCTTCAGAGATGAGATCAGCATACAAAATGGTATCTTGTACAAAGATCCAAGGGTCATAGTGCTGAAGTCACTAAGAGCAGAGATGTTATCGTGCATACACTCAAGCCACATCGGAGGTGAGGCTTGCTACAGACAAGCTTGTGATACTCTTTACTGGCCCAACATGCAAGGTGAAATCCAAGGTTTCAAAAAGGACACATCTGATTTTGTCAGCAATTGTCCCACTTGCAATGAATATGCACACTAGCAACAAAAAGAAACCATGATGTCACATGAGATACCTACACGTCCTTGGCAGATTGTCAGCATGGACTTATTCAACTATGCTGGAAAAGAGTACCTGCTCTTAGTCGATCATTACTCAGACTTCTGGGAAATTGAACTGCTTCCTGACCTGTCCATTGAAACTACAATTAAGCTATGCAAGGTGCAATTTGCACGTCATGGCCAACCAACTAAAGTGATTTCTGATAATGGTACTCAGTTTGCACGCTTACAGTTCAGGAAATTTGCTACTGAATGGGAGTTTGAGCATGTAACTTCTTCACCACATCATCCACAAGCTAATGGCAAAGCTGAATCCGCTGTGAAAATAGTGAAGAATTTATGCAAAAAATCTAAAAGTGATGGTAAAGACCCATGGAAAGCCATCTTACATTGGATAAACACTCCAACAGAGGGTATGGATAGTAGTCCGGCACAAAGACTGATGTCAAGGAGATTAAAGACCTCCTTCCCAGTAGCCAACAAGCTACTTGAACCCTCTGTGATACAAGGTGTACCAGAAAAGTTACGACTTAAGAGCAGTGGCGGCTCTAGACTTTATGAGGCCTTAGGCGAAACTCAAACAAGAGGCCCCCCCCACTAACACTCATAAAAAAAAAACATATAGGGGTTGCATCGTGTGTATCATGAGCTGTAGTTATAATGTATGACAGGCTTGCAGCGCTAGATACAGAGAGCTAGTATTCACTGTTGGAGTGAGTGTGGAACGGTTGAAGGAGTTGAATGGTTTATGTGTTGCACGGCTGGAGGAGGGAGTGTGACAAGGCGAGGGAAAGTGAGTCGGACAGGATTATGTGACAGGGTGAGTGTGGCATGGTTGGGCACAAGTGAAAGGGTTAATGTGAAAAAGGATGAGTATGACAGGGTTGGGGGTGAGTGTGACAGTATGAGAGAAAATTAGTGTGATGGGATTAGGGGGATTAATGTGATAGGGTGAGTGTAGAAGAGTGAGGGTCGGTAATTGTGGTATGGATGGAGAGGGTGAGAGCGACAAGATTAGGAGGGGTTAATGTGAGCAAGGCTGGGTGAAGGGGGCATGACAGCATGTGGGCGGTGGCTGTATGTGTGTGGAATTGTGACGGTGGGTAGGTGAGAGTGTGGGAGGCAGTGTTGGAAAGGGTGACAGTGTGTGCAGGGGCAGTGTGTGGGAGGGGTGTATGTGTACCACTGTATGTATTGGTGACAGTGTTGGGGGCTGACAATATGGGGTTCAAGTGTGTGAAAGGGTAACTGGGTGAGAGAGCAGTGTGGAGGAATGTGACAGTTTTGGGGGCAGGGTGTGAGTGGGTGACAGTGAGGAGGAAGATGACAGTGTGGAGGATGGTGACAGTATGGGGGGCAGTGTGTGACAGTGTGGGGGGACAGGGTGTGTTACAGTGTGGGAGGGCAAGGTGTGTGGGACACAGTGTAGTGAGGGCAGGGTGTGTGACAGCATGAGGGGGCAGTGTGTATGACAGTGTAGGAGGGCAGGGTGTGTGACCGTGTGGGTGGCAGTGTGTGGGAGACAGTGTGGGGCGTTTTGTGTGAGAAACTGTGTGGGGCAGAGTGTGTGGGAGACAGTGTGGGGGGCAGGGTATGTGGTGGTCACTGTGGGGGGCAGGGTATGTGGTGGTCACTGTGGGGGGCAGGTTATGTGGTGGTTAATGTGGGGGGCAGGTTATGTGGTGGTCATTGTGGCGGTCAGGGTATGTGGTGGTCAATGTGGGGGACAGTGTCTATGGTGGTCAGTGTGATGGTTAGTGTGGGGGGCATTGTATGTGGTGGTCAGTGTGGGGGACAGTGTCTGTGGTGGTCAGAGTGGGGGAAGGGTATTAGGGACAGTGTGTGTGGTGGTCATCCTTGTGGGGGGCAGTATATGTGATGGTCAGGGTATGGGGTGGGTAGGGTATGTGGGTGGCAGGGCAACGTGGGTGCAGTGTATGTGGTGGGCAGGGTATGTGACTGGCAGGGCAGTGTGGGGGCAGGGTATGTGGGTGGCGGGGTATTTGGGGAGCGGGGCAGTGTGGGTGGGAGGGCAGTGTTGGGGCAGCGCAGTGTGGGAGGCAGGGCAGTGGGGGTGGGAGGGTAGTGTTGGGGCAGTGTGGGTGGGGGGCAGTGAGGGTGGAAGGGCAATGTTGGGGCAGTGTATGTAGGTGGGCAGTGAGGATGGGAGGGCAGTGAGGATGGGAGGGCAGTGTTGGGGACAGTGAGGGTGGGAGGGCAGTGCTGGGGACAGTGAGGGTGGGAGGGCAGTGCTGGGGACAGTGAGGGTGGGAGGGCAGTGCTGGGGACAGTCAGGGTGGGAGGGCAGTGCTGGGGACAGTGAGGGTGGGAGGGCAGTGTTGGGGACAGTGAGGGTGGGAGGGCAGTGTTGGGGACAGTGAGGGTGGGAGGGCAGTGTTGGGGACAGTGAGGGTGGGAGGGCAGTGCTGGGGACAGTGAGGGTGGGAGGGCAGTGCTGGGGACAGTGAGGGTGGGAGGGCAGTGTTGGGGACAGTGAGGGTGGGAGGGCAGTGCTGGGGACAGTGAGGGTGGGAGGGCAGTGTTGGGGACAGTGAGGGTGGGAGGGCAGTGCTGGGGACAGTGAGGGTGGGAGGGCAGTGCTGGGGACAGTGAGGGTGGGAGGGCAGTGCTGGGGACAGTGAGGGTGGGAGGCCAGTGTTGGGGACAGTGAGGGTGGGAGGGCAGTGTGTGTGGAGGCTGTGACAAGCCTCCACACACTAAAATACCTTGTATTGCAATATAGTTCCCTGGTGGTCCAGTGGTTGAAGTCCCTGGTGGTCCGGTGGGATGACTTCCGTCTGCAGCTCCGCGAGAGCTGCAGACCTTGTTCTCACGAGCGCCTGTCAGAGCGTTGCCGTGGTAACCCGCGGCAACGCTCTGTGTGCTCGCGAGAACCTTATTACATGATCTGCAGCTCTGCACTCAGCGGAGCTGCAGATCTGAGGCTGGCTCTCCCTGTGGGCAGACCATGTGGAGAGGCCACCCGGCGGCATACTGGGCAAGCCGCCGGGCCCCCTCTCACTGTCGGGTGCTCGGTCATTGACCGAGGACCCGACAGTTCAGTCTGCCATAAGGCGATTTAGGCGGCCGCGAGGCCCCAGCAAGCGCGAGGCCTTAGGCGGCCGCCTAAATCGCCTAATTAGAGAGCCGCCTCTGCTTAAGAGGCAAGTGTTCAAGGCTAGATTTGACTCATCTGCTAGGGATTTACCTGAACTGAATATTGGGGAACAAATCCGTATGAAACCGCTTCCTGGAGATCGAACAGGTCGCTGGAGAATGGGAACCTGTCTACAAAAGGTTGCACCACGCTCTTATCTTGTGGATATCGAAGGAACTCTCTACCGACGCAATTGTGTGGATCTGCGAGTGGCCGAGAAGTCCGATTCTCAATATCCAGTAGACAAGCCAGACACACCTGGTATTCCAAGGTCACACTCACATGTCGGCAGTGAAGAGTGTACAAAAGTGATACCACAAACTAGTACTAATGGCAGCCCTGAGCAAGCAGGACCTGACAGCAGTCAACTTCAAAGCATGCCAGTAAGTGGTGGGAAGAGTCCAGTAACCTCAGAGAGGGCTAAAAGACTATTTGCACAACCTGGACCAGTCTTCACTCGTAGTGGCAGACATTCACAACCACCTAAGAGACTTAACCTCTAGAATGTTATTAAAAGGACTGTGTTTCACAATGTTGATTTATTAATACTAAAAGAGGAAGATGTTATGGATGTTATGTTTGGTTTACATGCAACTAACTCTATGGTTTATTCTCTATTGCACGCATTTCCTGTTGGGGTGTGTACTTCCTTCCTGTATCTCCTGAAACATGGCTGCTATACACTAATGGCTTGCAGTGTCTTTATTTATATCTCCTGAAACAGTTCACAGGCAGCAGCTTCAGACTTGAATACAAGTAAGATTTTTACTATCTTTAGGGAGGCAAAGGGGGCCAAGGGGGCTAGATAGTGGTTTTAACACTATAGGGTCAGGAAAACATGTTTGTGTTCCTGACCCTGTAGTGCTCTTTTAACTAGTATCATCATAGATATGTTTCTTTAATAATCCCTTAATTGCAAAATTTCAATTATTTGACCCAAGATTTCCACTTGGGTATTAACTAAACAATACAGAGACATTTCCACAGAAAATATTTTATTTGGAATCTGAGCAAATTGATGACTTTTGTAAACAATAGCACTTCATTTGTATGGAATTGAGATATTTATCAAAACAGTGGGTTTGATTCTTGAAGTTGTTGATCATGCCTATGATCATTTTTTGCACAAACTATGCAATGTTGCTTAATTCTAAAATTTAATAAAAAGTCCAATATTTTTTTTTATTTGTCAGTGACAAATTAAGAGTTTAGTGAAAAACCCTGCCTGCATGTAAAATTAAGTATTCACTTTTATTTCATTTTGTTCCTTTCATGTAGTTTCAAAAAGGACACATCTGATTTGAAGCTTTATATTCCTCAATAATAATTTATATACCAAGATGCATCATTGTGGGAAAAAGAAAGAAGCATTCAGTTAAAAAAACATTCAGCTACACCCAGTGCATATAATTGCGTATATAACAGAAACAGCACACAATAACTGTAAATTAATACCAAATGTCAATATATAAGCTTGTGTATAATTATTGTGTTATGAAATCACACTTAAAAAGAAAAGTACATACACACAAAATACAGGTTTTACATCTTTCATCAGTGAATAAAAACATTGACCTCAATTAAATCCTACAACTGCACCAAAGTAGGCCTATAGGTGCTGGGTCTGTATCTAATTCTGCACAATGGATCAGCATTTTATTTATCAGATCAGTAGTGAGTGTGGGGGAAGAGGTGTTTTGTTACAGCTGAATAATGATGATAAGCTGTGTAATATCGTGGGTGTGACGGTGCTCCTGTACTCCACCGAGTTCACTTCCTAGCCACTTGCAGGCCCCCCAGAACACTTCAGCCCCAGTCGACAAAGCTTGACTGGGGACTCTCTGCAGCTCTCTCCTTCCAGGCAGGTATCGTCCCCTTTGCCTATTCCTCTGCAACCCTTCTTCCAGAACGGTATTGTTCTATCTGCTTATTCCGCTGCAGCCCTTCTTCCAGGCAGGTATTGTCACCTCTACTTATTCTGAGCAGCCCTGCTTCCAGGCAGGCATCCACCTCTGGATGCAACGTGATTTCTATTGCCTTTATAAAGACAGGCCTAGTTCTCTTGCTTTATCTCAAGGCTAGCAGGATCGGGCAGCCAGCCAACAGGTCTGAAACCTATGTTACTGAGATCCCTAAAAATCCACACAGGACACAAGTTCCGAAAGGAACTAACATACAAAGCTTTGTTTTTACTTGGCACTAGCCCATATGATCATTACATTTAGATTGCTTTGACACTTCAATAAAATACAAATATACAGAACATTAGTAAACAATTAATTACAATTAATACATGCACTATATAATACCAAAAACATTTTCAAACACAATGGCATGGGAGCTTATGTCACAGTGGGTTCAGGCAGTGTTGTGGTAATAGCTGTACAAGCAGGGGCGTACCTAGAGCATTTGGCACCCGGGGCGGGTCCTATTTTTGGCACCCCCCTTGCTCCCTCCCTCAACTTAAAATATATAAACAACTAAAAAATGTTTTAATGTATTTAGCACTAAGCAGTGTTTGTGTTTTTGAATGTATGCATGTTTTTGTATGGAGTATATGTGAGTGAATGTAGCGGTGTGTTTGTATGTAGTGTTGGCGTTTGAATGCAAGCATGCATTTGTGTGTTGTGTGGTATTTGAATGCAGGGATGTGGTTATATATAATGGTGGGGTTTGTATGTAGTGTTGACGTTGAAATGCAAGAGTGTATTTGTGTGTAGTGTTGGCGAGATTTTTAGATGTCTGCACATATACACATACACGGACATACACACACACAAACACAGTCACACACAGATACACAGTGACACACATGCAGACATCGTGGCGACTCTAGGAACAATATATATGGGGGGGGCACATAAGATACCACAGTCAAAACAGGAGGGCGAGGTGGAGCAGTAAAACTTCTCACTAGGGGATGGGGTAATATGCTGCCATTGGCTGTCTGATGCCAGCATGCTGTGTTCTGCATGCTGGCATCTGACTACACATTTGCATATAATTCACATTAGCCACCCAGATTTCTTGTTGTGGGCTGGCTGACACCTCTTAATTTCGATCTTTGTTTAGCAGATAACTCCTCTAGTTGCTATCCTTTGTGGGATTGCCATATTTAAGGACACCAAATAAGGTGCTATCTGCTAAACAGCACCCTCATTTGGTATCTTTAAATATGGAAATCTCACATACGGTCACCGATTTAGGGAATGATCTACCAAACAGCTAAAGGATAAAAAAAACGCCCTTTTCTTATTTTCAGTTGTTTAGTAGATAAATCCCTTATTTGTTATCCTTATGTGGGATTGCAATATTTGAGGACAGGAAATAAGGGAGCTATCTACTAAACACATACGCAGAGATACACACAATCAAACACATAATCACAGATATACACAAACACAATCACTGACCCACACACATACAATCACAGACACACCATCACATACACACACAAACATTACATACATACACACATTTAATAATTAAGAGGTCCACCCAGCCTCCCTACCTTGCTCTAGAAGGGCTGGAGTGGATCCTCAGTCCCTGGTGGTCAGTGGTTGCTGCTGGGATCTCTGTGCTCTTTCTGCACAGGTCCATCGCACGCCCTGTAATGACGCCGAGGCCGCGATGACATCATATCCTGGCTGCCGGCTCACTGCAGGGCGAAGACTGTCAGACACAGTCAGATGCACACAGTCCCACACACAGTCACTCATACACAGTTACAGGCAGACAGTCAAATACGCAGGCAATCACACAGGCAGACAATCACACACACAATCACAGACAGCCACACATACACACAACACAGTCACAGACAGTCACACACACAATCACAGGCAGACAGTCACACACACACACACACACAGTCACAGACAGTCACACACACAATCAGAGGCAGACAGTCACTCACACACCCACAATCACAGGCAGATAGTCACACACACACAGTGACACACACACACACAGAGTAACACAGACAATCACAGGCAGAAGTCACACACACAATCACAGGCAGACAGTCATACATACACATAACACAATCACAGACAGTCACACACACACACACAATCAGTCAGACAGTCATACACACAGAGTCACACAGACAATCACAGGCAGACAATCACACAGACAATCACAGGCAGACAATCACACAGACAATCACAGGTAGACAATCACAGGCAGTCACACACACACACAAGCAGACAATCACACACACAGTCAAAGACAGTCACAATCACAGTTACACACTCTCTCTCACTTACAGTAAGCTTGGGCTGGAGGAGGTGTGGATTCAGTCCCTGCTGTGCTGTAGTTGGGGAAGCAGGGACTCCTTCCTGCTTCCCCTCTGTGTGCAGCAGTATGAGGCTGCATTTAGCTCCGCCCCCACAGCCAATCTGGCTCCGCCCCCAAATCTCAGTGCAGCCAGGTGTCCTGCTGTATTCCCATACCGCTGCTGCTATGGAGCCCGGTGCAGCCACACAGCTCACTGACTCCCAAGTCTGGCCAGCCCTGGTGGCACCCCCCTACCTGATGGCACCCAGGGCGGACCGCCCCCCCCGCCCCCTCCTTAGTACGCCACTGTGTACAAGTATTGTCTAAACAGATAGGGGCGTAGGTCTGATCAGGTGGATAAGTGGAACATTTAGTAGAAATATGAAGCTTGAAGGTGAGTAGGAATGAGGGCCTTAGGAGGTTATGAATTGAATAGAGAATCTTTACAATGGTTTGGCTTTCTGGTCATGTGTTTACTCTGAACTGGTGGGGGAGGTGATTCTGGTTGTAATAAAGGTGAGCTGGATACATGATAAAGGTTTTTGTGCTTATGTTTGGGGTTTTGGGGGTTTTTGTGCTTTGAGTGCTTATGTTTGGGGTTCAGTAAATGGTTTGTTTAGATTTTGGAAGGGGCTACATTTAGGGTTAGGGGAAAAAAAGGTGTTTAGGGCATGTGAGGTTTGAAGAGTTATTTGCAAATTACTCACCATCCTATGTCTTCTACAGCCCAGACAATCACTTAAAGGGACACTATAGTCACCAGAACAACTACAGCTTATTGAATTTGTTCTGGTGAGTAGAATCATTACCTTCAGGCTTTTTGCTGTAAACACTGTCTTTTCAGAGAAAATGCAATGTTTACATTACAGCCTAGTGATAACTTCACCGGCCACTCCTCAGGTAGCTGTTAGAGATCCTTCCTGGTTCATGGCTGCCTAAAATGCATCCAAACATTCAGTATCTCCTCCCTCTGCATGCAGACACTGAACTTTCCTCATAGAGATTCATTGATTCAATTCATCTCTATGAGGAGATGCTGATTGGCCAGGGCTGTGTTTGAATCATGCTGGCTCTGCCCCTGATCTGCCTCATTGACCGTCTCAGTCAATCCTATGGGGAAGCACTGTAATTGTATCAGGCTACCACTTCTGATGATGTCAGCAGACTGCTTGCTTTTTTGAGGCAAACAGCATGAAGATCTACAGCTTCTGGCTTGAATACAGTAAGACTTTGCTATATTTATGGAGGCATG